GATAAATATTTTTTTTGTTGAGGAAAGAGGTAGATAAATACATGACATTGGATAAATAGATGAATATATAGGTGACACGTGTACAAATTGGTGATATTTGGACAAATAGTTAGATAGATAGGTAACATGTATACAAATAGGTAACACGTGACATATAAGTGACATTATGCCATTTTATAATCTATGTAAACAAAAATTTATAATATTATTATCAAATATATATCACACTAAAAAGAGGTCTAAGTGTATGGAAGGAACCAAACACAGAATGCACAAATATAAAATAAATGTTCACATTTATTCGCTACTACAAATATAAATAATTTTTTATCTCATATCTATATATTTTATATTTAATATATATATAAGAGGGTAATTTGTAAACAAATTGGGCCGAGCTAGGAAGAGTTTTCTTTGGGAGTTGGGCTGCGTAATGAGCCGAGAAAAGGGCTGGAGTATGGACGACGGGTAGTTCGGTCCCTTTTTATTTGAGTACCAAACTGGGCAAGGGCGTTGACCGAGCTACCTAAATACTAGGCCCAAGGGTTGGCCGAGGTGTTTGGTAATACAGATGGCCGACCTAGGTATAGCTCGGTCGATGCTTCTATTCCATTACTTAGTTGAGCACAGAGTCGAGGTAAAGATGATAGCCGAAGTAAAGAAAGTTCTGTAGCAAACCGAGGTAACATCAATGGCGAGGGCCGAGCTGTGTATAGCTCGGCAGGGTGGCATTCGATAGATCTGCTTTCGATCACACGGTCCGAATGGCAGGGGACCAAGATAAGGCAGTTCGGTCAGAAATGTATAACCAAGGTAAAGGGTTCAGCCATCTCACTTGGCTTGTAGTGATGAAACTCCTAGTAGGACTCTGCTAATGAGAGTTAGAGTCCTACTGGGATTGTGCAAACCATCTCACTTGGTTGGTAGTGAGTAGGAGTATGACTCTTCTTAGGAGGACTCTGCTAAGGAGAGTAGAGTCTTACTAGGATTGTGCAAAACCATCTCACTTGGTTGGTAGTGAGTAGGGTGTGTGATTCCTAGGAGGACTCTCATAAGGAGAGTTGGAATCCTACTAGGATTCTGCCAAAGTAAAGTCTATAAAAGCTCATGACCAGACCTATGAACAGGTATCTTAATTCTTACTCTAGAATACACAGAGCTTATTGTCTATTGTCTAGTTGCTGACTTAGGCATCGGAGGGATTTCCGGTACACACCCGCCGGTTAGCTCACGTTTGTATTTTCAGGTGGCAAAATAACGTTGTTTGGAGGAGGATCATACGAGAAGAAATATTTCGTGCTCGTACAATATATATATACATATAACACAATTAAAAAAAAAAGTGCACATAATAACGTTTCCTGACAATTAAACATGGCCAAAAGGTCCATTAAATGGACTGAAATAAATGGAGTTGATACAGAATCTGCTGCATATAGATACAATACATACCTACTATTATTTGGATGAGTGAGTTAGGCTTTTCAATTCAAGACTCAACAGTCAAAAGTCTTCTATATTTTGATGGCTATTTGACATACGTAGATTTTAATCATGCTAGGACCACAAGAAAACCAAGTGAAATTTCACTAGTTTCTTGTTCTACCACCATCGCGAGCAGCTGCCAACCATTGTCGACTACCATCTCCATCTTTGGCGTTCATTTTTAGACTTGACCAACATTTTTTGAGGAGAATCTGTCACGATCATTTCTGATTACTGTTTCTACCATTCTTTCCTTTGGACAACTCACTTTCATCATCACACTACCACCACAACCATTCACAAAATCACAAAAAATCTATAAAAAAATGTGAAGATAGTAAAATATATACTAAATCAATTTTGTATTATATAAATTTCTATTTGAAAATACACAGTAATCTTGTTGTTAAAATATATATATATATATATATATTGTCAAATAATTTTGTCATTTTGTACACCTTAATTAGAGATTTTTATTTTGTCATTTTGTACCCTGTTAGGATTTTTAACCTTGAAATTATTGTGTTTCAATTTACATTTTTACCTGTTAGGACGAGAAGATGGGTGACATGGACAAAGAATCACCAAAATTAGGAGGGGAGAGTTGTTAATGCAAAATTCTTTTGGGTGACCCAACCCTCATGTCAAGGATTAGTTTTGGGTTATTTGATAGGTATTTCTATTGTATATGAATATATGAGATCAATTTGAGATTTTTGACAGAAAAAGAGAGAATAGTTGTTGTTGTAAAAAAAAAGTTTAGGGTTTGTAATTGATCTTTTCTCCATAGTGAAATTATTTGATTTCTTTGTCATGAACAAACCAAATATGTTTCATCCTATGTATTCTTTTCCTTATTTTTTTTTGTTATAGTTTTCTCTATAGAGAAATTAGATCCTCTATTCCAATGTCTATCTCACTCTTTGTGTAGTGTAACGTGTAACAATATGAAATCAGTGAGACAAACATTGGAAGAGAGAGAGAGAGATGAGACAAGATCCAAAATTAATTTTCACATTTTTAGTTCTTTTTAATGAAATGTTCCTTTAGTTTCCTAAACAAAAAATCATTTTTCACATACTTTGCTCAACTCTTAATGTTTTGTTTTTGTTGCAATCAGATCACCTACCTATTTTATAAAGTTTCTTAAAACTCATTTCTCTTGTTTTTGTATCACACAAAATTACTGTTTTGGTGAATTGACAATGAATGAGTTGTTTGTGTTTGGCAATCTGAAAATGAGTTTTTATAATTTACTTAATATTGACATGTAGGTAAGTACTTGGATCTTTTCGCTTAATGTTTGAGTTCGAATCTCCATAATCACTTGATAGCTTTAAAATTGTTCTTTACCGCTCACAAAATGTCGTGAGTTTTGGTTTTGATTCCAACATAAATACAGTGGGGTTTTTACAGATTATAATGTGATATTAAAATATATAATATCTAGTGAATGTAGAATAACGGATATCTATTTTTGCCAAAAATAAAAAATAAATATTGAGCTGTAATTTCAGATTATTCTCTATACTAATCACAAAGTTGGTACGTTAATCTCTATACTAATCACAAAGTTGGTACGTTAAGGAATAAGATTGAAATGACTTGGTGGAAATTAAGCAGTATAAATACTAGGTCAGTCCTAGGATGAATCTGTCAAATATTAAAGGCTGATATTACTCAAAAGGCCACACATGTGATGATGCTCACTTTTCAAAGCCCTCTCAAATGCCCACTCTGTTTGAGTAGTCCTGTCTTTTCTTTAGCTATTTCACACAGAGAGAGAGAGGGAGCTGTTCTAGCATCTCAAAAAAAGAAGGGACAAACCAGGGAAGTATAAGACCTAACTTTGCCTTTCATGCATTACATGCACCCCACCTCCCCCTACCCCCCCCTTTTTTTTTTGCATGCAAAATGGTCCCCCAAACCCTAACCCTAACTTTAAAACTCTAACTCCTAACTCCATAAATCCCTCCAATTGCCAAACCCTTTAATTATTAGTTTTTATTATAAAGCTTAATTAGAAATTCATGTTATTGTTTTTTTAAAGCCATAATTTCAAAATATGACTTTAGATAGAGGCTGAATAAAAAATGACGTCTACGGGAGTCAAGGTGTGAGTTTAAGAAATTTTAATTTTTTTTTGCATAAGAGTTGTGAAAAAAGTAATTAAGTAATTTATGAGGAGAAAAAAAAAGTAATTTCCAAAGTTTTGAATTATTAATAAAGCCATTTTGTTGGTTGATAATATTTAGTGAAAAAAAGATATTGCATACCTCCTTGCTTTTTTTTTTTTTTTTTTTAAAGCAGAAAACAAAAAGATGTCGCATGCACATCTTCTATAAATAAATCTATCTATATAATAAAGTAAGATGATTTTTAAATTTGTTCTACACATATTTGTCCCACTAGGACATTAGTACGGCTTAAATCTATTCAAATTATAAAACAACGGCTGAGATATATTTTTTAAAAAATATCTTACATGTACATTTTCTATTTTCTCACACATCCTTCCATGATTCCACCTGCCTCTCTCTTTTCTTTTATTTTTTTTTTATGTTCTCCCATTTTTATTTTTCTCTCTATTTATTTATTTTTTTATTTTCTCCTTTTTGTTCACTTATTTTTATTCATATTATATGAAAAAGTCTACAATCCCAGAATTAGGAGTCGGATTTTACTTTGTATAGTGGAGATTAAATTAATGAACTTTATAGTCCACAAATTAAATGAATTTGAACAATTGATTATTAATTTTAAATATATTGAATACCTGATAGACTTCATAAATTTAGAACTTATATGAATCTTCAACATATATTTTAATAAAGCAGGATGATTTTTGAATCTTTAACATGTTTTTGTTCTATTAGGACATTTGGCTAGCTCAGATCTGTTCAAATTATAAAACAATGGCTGAGATATATTTTTTCAAAAAATATCTTACATATACATTTTATACTTTTCCGCTTCTCTCTCTCTCTTACTTTTTCATTTTCTCACCTATCGTTCCATGATCCCACATTTATCTCTCTCTTTTTTTTTATTTTTTTATTTTCTCCCGTTTTTATTTTTCTCTCTATTTGTTTATTTTTTTTATTTTCTCTTTTTTGTTTAATATATTTTACACATATTTCCATAGAATGTATGTATGCCTGTAATACACTGGGACATTATGGGCATACATACAATTTCCATATAATTATATAAGCAAAAATAATATTATATGTATGCTCGTAGAAATTGTATGTATGCCAAGCACATTTATCTATCTAGTTATATATTATATAAACAAAAGCGAGTTTTCATGGAGAGTTTTGTGAGAACTCCAAAATTTTATAATAAATTTGTGATTTTATCAAATTAAAAAATAAATTTAAATAATGTTGGGATTACAATTATATTTTAATCATAACATTATTTATACCGTGCCTTCAGGTACGGGCATACGCTAGTTATATTATATTGATACTAGCATGTGAAATAGTTGAAGATTATCTTGTAATATATTGTGAAAATAAATGAAATATAGAGTTAGAAAATTATTTTTAAAAAATTAGGAGGCAATCCTATTATACATTTTACAAATATCAGAATGTAATTTTCTCATCGAATAGCTCCGCCCCTGACTTTAGGCTTGAAGTTGCATTTTCAAAATATGATTTGAAATTTTTTTACCAGAAATAATTGAAGTCATATTTTGAGAACAATACTTTAGTGAAATCATATTTTCAAAACACAGGTGTGGAAAACAAATTCCAAATTACTTGAGTTGAGTTTGAGTTTGAAAGATCTGTTATTAAAATAGCATGGTTTGGTAGAACAATCCTTTAATCAATTTTAGTACTCTATTCATTGAAAATTAAATAAACATAACTAGTAGTAATAATAGTAAATGATAATAAATATAAGAAAAAGAATCACAAATCTTCAAAATACAGAGCTATATACAATTTCAGCCCCTATCTAGAGGCAAATGCAGTTTCAACTGTCCTTCCGATCTTATTATTGTTATTACTTTTCGAGCATTGAGAACTGTGCTATAGCTTTTAGCTGTACTTGATCTTGTATCCTCTGTTCTTTTCCCTCTCTACACTTCTTTGCCACATATATTTGGAAGCAATAGGCCTGAGTTTGGAACTGTGCTTCTCAGTTTTCTCAATGTCCTGTTTGATTCAATCCCTTTGGACCTTTCTTTCTCAATTTCCCATCTGGGTTTTTGATAAGATGAGTGATTTCAACAAAAAACCATTTGGATTTTCTCATTCTATCTCACCTCCTCTATAGCTCTGCTTCTACTCCTCTGTTCTTTTTTACACTCTTATGTCCCTGTTTTTTTGTTTTTTGTTTTTTGTTTTTTTTAATACAACTCTCATAACGAGGACTCCAAAACCATCTTGTTGTGTTCTTTAGTGAAGAACTAAGGGACTCATATGGATCACTGATAAGAAAGTTGACTTTGGTGTTGGAGCCAATCTTCTCCATTCTTGATTCCCCTGTTTTTGCTCTGTTTTAATCATTTTTGTTCTTGGGTTTGGTTTAGCTGTGGATTAAGTCATCCCCATGAAGATTTTCAACAACATCAGTGATTGTGTTTTGTTTGTTTTCATAATCTCTTTGGGTGTTTTGTGTAATGGAGAAGAAGAAATTTCAGTAGCACCGATGGAAAAAACAGAGAAAGAAGCTCTGTATTATACTATACAGGGTTTTGTGGGTAATTGGTGGAATGGCTCAGATCTCTATCCAGATCCTTGTGGTTGGACACCTATACAGGTACTTTCTAACCAACCCTAGTGTTCCATATTTTTTTGGAGTATCAATAATCTAAACCATTTATAGTTATACATCTGTCATTTATTTATTTACTTGTTTATTTTATGTTTCTTTGCATTCTATGGTATCTTTGCTGTTAATTCTGTTTGAGCAATCACATCTTTTTTTATGATAGATATTCCATTTCTGTTTTACAACTTTGGACTTCATTAGAAATATTTTAGGAAACTGTGGATTTATTTTTTAACCTTAATCATTCAAGAATAATAACCCAAATTTAGATAGGATAGTTTACTTATAAATTTGGAGATCGAGTTAAATAGCTTGACTTTAATGGATTCGAAATCACCATGTAGAACTAGTTATTTGAAATCATGCTAAAGATTTTCTTTTTAACCATAAGGATCCTACTAAAATGTATAAATCTTCTATCTCAACTTTTCTTCTTTCATTGTTTTTCTATTTATTTAATCTTAAATCCTTTGATTTGAAATATAGTCAAAACTAGAAGCCTTTTATGAACTCATTTTTCCATTTTTTTTTTTTAATTTTGTGTATGCTATTTCCATATTGGGAAGTTGAGATCTATAAAAATTTTACAAACCAATTTTCTGAGAACTTGTGATATTTCTTGTCTTTTTGTTTGATTTAAAAAAAAAAAAAAAAAAGCAGAAAAATAAAATGGATTCAAATCAACAGTTGTTACTGAACCCTGATCAATATTCTCTTGAAGTGAAACATAACATATATCTGGTACCAAGAAACAATAAGAATAAAAAAAAATTAGCTTGTTTGGTTTTAATTTTTTGAATTCACTTTTCAAAAAGTTCAATTTTTTAATTTTCTGTATTTTTTTTTATTTTCACTGAATTTTTTTTAACATTTTAAGTAATTTTTTTTTAAATTTTTAGATATACTTAACATAAATACACTTAAAAAGTATAATATTTGTACAAAAAATCTTTAAAAAATTCACTAAATATCAAAAATATAAAAAAAAATATGAAAATTTAATACATTTTTCGTATTCTTGTGTATTTATTGATTTTTTAAAATATTTTACTTTTTAGATACATCTAAGTAAGGTATATTTAAAAAAGTAAAAAAATTGCTTAAAATTTTAAAAATATTCACTAAAAATAAAAAATTTAATTTTCAAAAAATTGAATCCAAAAAATTGATACCAAACAAGTCAATGCTTTTTTTTTGTTTTGTTTTTTGGTGGGTAGATCAGCTGGAAAAAAAACTCTCTCATTTTTTTTCAATACTATCCAGTACAAGAGATATTAAAGTAATAATAAATGAAGTTTTGATTTATTGAGTACATTGTTTAGCTGTCTATTCAGGATTTTTTAGTACCGTCCTTTTTTAAATTTTTTTTTCTCCCTTTCTACAGGGTGTATCTTGTGATCTCTATAATGGCTTTTGGTATGTCACTGCCTTAAACATTGGCCCTATTCAAGACAACTCTCTTCATTGTGCCCCAAATCCAGAATTTAAACCAGATTTATTTAGACTCAAACACTTAAAATCTCTATCAATCTTCGATTGCTTTGTTTCGCCCCACAACCACCCTATCCCAATCCCAACCGATAACTGGGAATTACTTGCTACCAACTTAGTATCACTAGAATTCCGATCCAACCCTGGTCTCATCGGTCAAATCCCCACTGTTTTTAGTGACCTAAGAAAGCTCCAATCTCTCGTGCTATTGGAAAATGGATTAACGGGCGAATTACCAACAAACATTGGCAATTTAATCAAATTGAGGAGGTTAGTCCTTGCCGGCAGTGAATTTAGAGGTCAAATCCCAGAAAATTTTGGTGCGCTATTTGACCTTTTAATCCTTGACTTGAGTAGAAATTCACTATCAGGGACTTTGCCTTTGAATTTGGGAACATTGACTTCACTATTGAAGCTTGATTTGAGCAACAATCAATTAGAGGGACAAATTGGAAGTGAAATTGGAAATCTAAAGAATCTAACACTGTTGGATCTCAGCAAGAACAAGTTTTCAGGTGGGTTGACCAATTCACTCCAAGAATTGTCTTCTTTACAAGAGTTGGATTTATCAAACAACCCAATTGGTGGAGACTTATTGAGTGTGGAGTGGCACAGACTACAAGGGTTAATCTTTTTGGATCTGTCCAATATGGGCTTGACAGGAGGAGTTCCAGAGTCCATGATAGGCTTGAAGAGGCTGAGGTTTTTGGGTCTTAATGAGAACCACCTCACAGGCAATCTCTCCCCAAAGCTTGAATCTTTGTCTAGTGTGAGTTCACTATACCTAAATGGGAACAATTTGACAGGTGAGCTTACATTCTCAGAATGGTTTTATGGGAAAATGGGGAGGGGTTTTAGGGCTTGGAACAACCCTGGTCTGTGTTACCCAGATGGGTTGGTGTCACCAACAAATCATGGTCCAATTGGGGTAAGACCATGTCATCAAGAGGTCACAACACTACGTGGTTTTGAATTTGATCCTAATTTGAAACCCAAATTGGGTAATGGGAATTTGAATCAGAAAACCCAATTCATGTCTTCTTTGGGATTTTCAAGGTATGGTGTTGATGGGTTTTGGTGTGTATTTGTGGTAGAGACATTGATGATTCTTCTTCTAGTCTTGAATTTTTCCCTGTAAGGTTTACTTGTAGGAGGATATTTGATGTTATGAAGATTAACCTTTTTCTTTATCCTCTTTTTTGATTTTTTTTTTTTTTTTTAATGTTTTCTCTAATATCGATTAGCATCAAGGTAATGTGTAGTAACGTAGTTATATTTTCTAATGGTTCATAACCATTTGTTAAGTCGTTTATTTAATATATTCTCTATCTTGTAGATATATATATATATATATATATTCTCTGTCTTCTCTTCTGGTAATCAATTTTTAGGAGTGGTTTGAAATCTTTATTCCCAAAAATTGATAATTTTATGAAGTTATATTTTTTTATATTCGAACTTGTGACCTAAGTGTCCGAAGACTTGTCAATCGCCACTCACCTCTAGGCTATTCACATGGGTTTTAAGTTTTATATTTTGAAGACATTAAAACATTTTTCTGTTGCTTGATCTTGTAATTTTACTTCTTGTTCTTGGAACCTAGCTAGTAGTTCTTTTCGGTTTCTTTCTAGTGAAGAAAGCAACTTAAAGCTAACTTGAACACCGGTGTATATTTGAAAGGATAAGAACTGAATTAAATTGGGATCTGTGGAAATTAGGCATTTTGGCAGTTTGTATCTTTGATTGTTTTTCAAAAGCATTTTGGCATTTGAATATTAAAAAAAAAAAGGCAATTTGGCAGGTATGACTTTATTACATTTGAAAGTGAAGTATAAGGGGCATAGGTTTAGGTTGTGTTTGGTTGGGGGATTTGGGAAGAGATTTAGAAAGGGAAAAGGAAAAGTTGTGTGAAACTATGTGAAATATAAGCATGTTTTATTCACATTTCACCTACCTTTTTCATTTCCCTTTCCAAATCCCTCTCCAAATACCCCAACCAAACACAGCATTATAGTAAGTCAGTCTTCCCGTAATCTGGACATAATTCATATTGGACTCACCTCACATTTTAATTTATATGACATTTAATTTAATTTTTATCAAAAGTTTGTTAGTATGAATAAAAAAAGATATTATTATCTATTTTTCATTAAAATATGAGAGATTTGATCAAAACTTAATCATAATAAAACTTTAATGTATTAAGGACAAGTATAAGAAATTTTTCTTGAAAAATTCAACACACATTATTATTATTAAAACATTAAATTTTAAAATAATATAACTTTTGATATAGATGTTGGTTTTTAATAAAATTAGTATTTTTATAATCCTTTCATCAAGATCTATGAGATAAAATCCATGTTGACTATGAAAGTCTTAAAAAAATAAAATATTATCGTCGAAATTGATATAAAAGTAATAGTAACATGTTATTCTATCTGATAGTAACATGTTACTCTGGCAATATTATCCAAGAAAAATATATATATTTTATTTTATCCTTACTCAATTATGTGTTTTATATTTACGAGGTTTATGAAGTAAAATAAAATTGAACTGTCATTTTCACCAAATAAGGATTGAATGGAGGAGTTTTGGTTAAATTTCTCTTGAAATATATATTTTACCATGTACATCTTTGTATCTTCATATTATATGTATTAGTTTTGGTCTCTTTAACTTTACTAAAATGGAAATCAGTGTAATTCTGTCAAAATTATGAGAGTTGTAATTTTTTTAAGACCATGCTTTTCTCCCGTTCGAAATCAAATTGGAATGTGCTGTTGGGTTTTGTAGGCCCACTATGGAGTCTATATCGACGATTCGAATCGTTTAATATTTAGGATTCGTTGTGTATTTCATCGCTATAAAAAGTCACGTAGATTGGATATCGATAACTACTTGATCAGATCAAATTTGTGTCAATGGTAACTATGATTTTAAAAATAAATTGTTGATATAAATGTGATATAATCAAGTGACTAATAATATCAAATTAACGTGATCTCTTACAGAAATGAAATACTCAATGAGTTGTACATATTGAATAGTTTAGATTGTCGATGTGAATTCTGTGGTGAGCTTATGAAAGCCCAACAAAGGCTTCAATCGGAAAATCTAGCTAGAGACAAGCTGCTTTCTCTTTTTAAATCTCAAGAGAGATTAATATAATTTATCTTAATCATAATTGGTTGAATTAACACCAATTTGAGGCGTAATTGAAAACTATTTTGGTCGTAACCAAAATCACTGTAATAAGTCGTAACCAACACTACAACATAATTAATTTTGATATAATAATTCAATAATAATACTAATTACATTTTCTTATCATATTTCTATTATCATTTCATATATCAATATTACATTGGTATATTAGTTCGCATCATTTATATATATTCCAATTATAGGAATAAACATAATGTAATAAAAAAATATAATTACCACAAGATATTATTGATAATTTTTTACCTCCACCACTACAATAATTCATGTCCAAATATCATAATAGCTTATGCTCAGTATCAATTATAGTCGGTATCAATTTGAACTATGAAAATTATTATTGATTCTTATGTTTAAAGTTGGTGACGATGATGATGATAAAAGGTGAACTCTATTAAAAGCTTTTTGTCAGCTCATCAGGGGGTACCTGTCTAAGTTGAAGCCTGGTTTCTTCTTCTGTTCAAAGGGCTCTCTCTCTCTCTCTCTCTCTCTCTCTCTCTCTCTCTCTCTCCAGGCTAATTGAATGTTGTTCACTGTTTTGGACTTGACTACAGACTCTGCATCAACAACGACAAATTAAATTTTATTTATTTTATTATATTTTTTTGCAGGGGTCATGTTTTCAATAATGATTGTTTTGATTCTCTCTTAAAATTTCTGTGACACGATGGAATCTGGGATATTCATTCAATTCACCCTTTGTTCTTCTATTTCATCATTAAATTAATTTTAAATCTTTTACGTGGACTATCCATTTCAATAATGATAAAAAAAACTAATTTAATGAAAAAAAGTGTCATTCCAGAATTTTTCATTTTTTTTATTTGAAAATTTTAACAACTTAAACCATATATAATCAAACATTCAATTTTTATTCACTTTCTTGGAGCATATTTACTGAAATCAGAAACTTTAATGACTTAAGAATGAAATAGAAAAATAATGATAATTTAAGACATAAAAGTGAAATAGCCATTTTTATTTAAAGTATATCTACAAGTTTGATGCTGAGATATTTTTTAACAACAAAAAATAATTTTTTTAACCACATCAATTTTTTTCAATAGCAATTTTATCTTAAAAGGCTAAAAAATACCTACTAAAAAAGAAGGGTAAATTACACTCACCTTTGTTGAGTTTTAGAAAAAAGAAAAAAAGATTGGGAGTTCTAAGTTATGAGCTTTAGAGAGCTCTAATTTGTAGTAGGCCCATGTGATATGATATTTTGATATTTTTTTTTTTTTCCGAATTTTCACATCACTAGAGTTGGGTTTAGAGTTCCAGTTCTGGAGCTCTCTATCATTTCTGTAGAAAAAATATAGTCAATCTCATATTTTTGACACAATTAAACTAGACTCTCATAAGATTTTAATTCACATAACACTTATATTTTTTTATTAGTAATTTCTAAATTGTATGGATGAAAATATGATGTTATCATCTATTTTATACTAAAATGTATATTTATCTTTATTTATTTGAATAGTTACTTATTATTTATATTAGTTTTGATTACTTTAACCTTACTAAAAGAGATGTCAATATGATTATGCCAAACTTTAAGTCTAACTATATATATATATATATTAAATTTTTTAAAAAAAAGTGAGGGTAATTTACCCAAAAAGAAAAAAAAAATTTGTTAAACCAGCCCTAAGATCCTAAAATAGTTTATAAGGCAAATTATATTGATGTTATCTACGTTTTGTCTTTTGTATCATTTTAGTCTCTACATTTTTAATTAGTTCAATTTTGACTCTTAATTTTAGAATTTGTATCGATTTAGTCTAATTGATAATATCGTTAGTATTTTTGACGGAAAATAATCACTGAATCGATTGAGATTAACTCTTTGAGTTGAGTTAAGTAAATTTATGATTTTATCCTTAAAAATATGATATATCTCATGTATATACGTATTTTTCATAAAAAAAAATGATAGAATTATTATTGTTAGATCAAATTGAGATAAAATTATAAATTCAGAATTAAAATTGAGTCAATTAAAATGACATAAGAATTAAAGTATAAGAAGTATCGCTATAATTTGTTTTAATGTATATTATTAGAAGGAAAAAAATATAAGAGTGATCACCATATTTGACTGAAGGTAAACAAGACCAATTCCAATTGCCAATATCCTCAACAAACAAACAAGCAAACAAACCCCACAAATTCCTTAATCGGCGGTGTTTGGAGCGTGTTAACGATTACGTTCACGTTTACCGCATTAGAATACCATTCGTCGTCGAATTGTCAATTTCCGTATATCTCTCCTACTTTTCTCGTCAACGACGTGTGCTTTGAATCTTCCAACGGCTCTCATCATTCGTACAAGTATCCATGCTTGACCTTTTTTTTTTTTTTTTGATCAAGAAAAAAAGGTTCTGTGGTGTCATCATGACCCCGTTGGGCCCTGACCGTAACCAGTTGCCAGCCAGGAATTAACCACCACCAAACCACCAATAGAACGTGAACACACGCCACAGCAGTAGACATGTGTTGAAGGGATTTATAGAATGTGTTTACCGAAGTGATTTCAAACACTCTCTTCTTAGGAATCGACCCTGGCACGCGGCTGTGGAATGCCCCGCATTCTCCACCAGGCCACCAACCCTGGTGGTATGCTTGACCTTTGATACCAACATTTTTGGTATTCTAATTTTATTTATTTATTTATTTAAGATGGGTTTTTCTTGACAAATTTACTCATTTTGTTGAATTTAGTAGCGATCGTTTTTGTTTAGTTTTTACAGTGCTGTTGCAATATGATCAAGTCACATTCATGAGGCGATCACCATGAATTGTGCCTACAAACGAGATCATAATTCTTACCATTCATTGCGTTGAAAACCCTGGACATGAACAAAGATTATTGATTGCTCAAAGCGTCACTTTTATGGTTAGTGTGTTGGTTTCAAAGCAATCAGTAAATTTTATTTTGTTGCTTTCAGATGCTCAATTTTCAACTTTATTTCGTGATTGGTATGTTTTCAAGTCTATTTTGGTGGGATTGGACAGAATTTTTTAATTAATTGTTGA